TGTCCTTTTACTATACATGTCTTTTCTGTATCTTCTTTTCTTAGATAAGTCCCTTTAGCATTTCATAAAATAAGGGCTTGGTGATGATGAACTCCTTTAACTTGACCTTATCTGAAAAGCACTTTATCTTCCCTTCCATTCTAAATGAGAGCTTTGCTGGATAGAGCAATCTGGGATGTAGGTCCTTGCCTTTCATGACTTGGAATATTTCTTTCCAGCCCCTTCTTGCCTGTAAGGTCTCTTTTGAGAAATCAGCTGACAGTCTGATGGGAACTCCTTTGTAGGTGACTGTCCCCTTATCTCTTGCTGCTTCTAGGATTCTCTCCTTCGTTTTTACCTTGGCTAATGTAATTATGATGTGCCTTGGTGTGTTTCTTCTTGGGTCCAACTTCTTTGGGGCTCTCTGAACTTCTTGGATTTCTTGGAGGACTGTTCCCTTTGCCAGACTGGGGAAGTTCTCCCTTATTATTTGTTCAAATATGTGCTCCATCTGTTGCTTTTCTCCTTCCTGTTCTGGTACCCCTATAATTCGGATGTTGGAACGTTTAAAGGTGTCCTGGATGCTCTTAAGCTTTTCCTCGATTTTTTGAATTCTTATTTCAGCATGCTTTCCTGCTTGGTTGATTCTATCTTCCTTCTGGTCCTCTGTATTGTTTTGAGACTCAGATTCCTTCCTTTCACTATTGGCTCTCCTCCGCGTATCTTCCTCCATCTCTTTTATGGTAACCTGCATCCTTTCATCTAAATTGTGCCCAAAATCAACCAATTCCGTGAGCTTTCTGATCACCAGTGTTTTGAACTGTGCATCTGATAGATTGGCTATTTCTTGGTCGCTCTAAAGGATGAGTCCTGGGGGACTGATCTGTTCTGTTGGATACATGTCTTATGTCTTTCCCTGTCTCTGGTCGCTCTCGTTACGGTGGGGGGCGGAGCCTTAGGTGTTCTCCGGGGCTGGGCACCCTGGTCGCTAGATTGTGATGTTATATGTGTGGGCGGGGGCGGAGCGGCAGGGGGCAATGGCGTTAGTTTCATTCTCCCAGGCTCAGGTCCTTCCTTGGGATCCTGGGCTGCGAGCTCTGCCCTGGTCCACAATCGCTGCCTCACTGGGTCCGCTAGCTGCAGCTTGCGTACTCAGGGATCACCGCTGCGTTCTTGTGCCCCAGATGGCTGTGGCGCTGATTTTGCGCCAAACTTTCCCTGACCTCCGCGCGCCGACGACCCGCGCCAGCCCCAAGCCTGCCCGGCTCCTCGTCTCCTACCAGTCTGGATGTATGGGTTTACTTCAACTTCTTGGCTGTCCAACTTCCATTCAGATAAATCCTGTCAGTTCTGAGTGATATTCTATCTGTAAATTATTGTTGTTCTAATCTTGGTTGTGCGAGGAGGCACGGTGTGTCTACCTATTCCTCCATCTTGCCGGAAGTCCCTAAAAATTTTTTTTTTAATTTTTTTTTAGAGAGAGCATAAGGCAGGGAGAAAGAGAGAGAAAGAGAGAAACATTGATTAGCTGCTTCTCACATGTGTCCCAGCTGGGGGCCAAACCCACAACTTAGGCATGTGCCCTGACCAGGAATCCCTAACTAGGAATCAAACTGGCAAACTTTCTGTTTGCAGGATGATGTCCAACCCACTGAACTACACAGGTCAGGGCCCTTTAAGCACTCTTAGTGAGGGACCCCCTCGTTTGGACTGGAAGGCAGTAACTGAGTTCAGTTTACTGAAGCAGAGTGAGACCTTAGGGCAATCAGCAAGGTTTTGGCTCCAGCAAGTAATTAGCTGCATATCATTAAGTAAGTCATTCACTCATTTGGAATTCTGATCTTCTCAACCTAAGAAAGGAATGAGTTGAGTTATGTGCCCTTAAAAGGTCTGTTTTTTTTGTTTTTTTTTTTGTTCTGGTGTCCCAGTGATGTGTGTGTGTGTGTATTCTTGAGCCCAAGGGAAAGACAATGGTTAAATTGAAGAGATGTTTCAAAGCCATCATTTCCCCTAGAAATAGAACTCACTTTGAGTTTTCTAATCCCTTCCCATGTGTCACATTCTCCCTCATAAGTCTGCAATTGGTTTTTATGCCTAAAGGGCTTAAAGCCATCTCTTGGTTTCATCAGTTTGAGAATCAACTTATTTTAGGTGTTGGATGCTGAAAGAAAAAAATCTCTAATAGCTTCATCACAAGGACATCTTTTCTTTTATTATGACTGAGAAAATGGACCCATTTCACCAAATGAGATTAAATTTTCAATATATAATAGTAAGTGTAAATGTTTATATATCTTAGCATATCAAAAGTATCTTAAGCTTACCATTAATTAGTCTTGAGAAGAAAAGTTTGAACACAAGTGCAATTAATTTATTATCTTAATATGAGTTAGATGAACAAACAGTTCCCATGCAAAAGGCAGTTTTCATTAAACAAACAAGATAATTTAAAATGAAGGGGTAACACATAATGGAGTAGTGGTTGTCTGCTATTTGCATTCATGAATATGCTCCTGGGCTGTAAGCCTGAAGGATGTAATCAAGATGAGGCTGGTGCTGGTTTGGGTTTCCACTGTTCTAAAAATGCCCTCAACAAGTTCCTTTTCTGTTTCAGTGTTGAACTCTTTAGATGGCTATTACTTCATTTACTTTAAGTGTATGGACATATATTAAAGATTAGTGGGCAAAATGCTCCGACACTGTTTGAGCATAAGATTCCATGTGTTGTTTCAAAATAAATGTGGAAATTTTGCAACAGTCATTAAAAAATCAATTTGAACTTGCTTTGAGAAGAGAGAGGTTCAATGTCTAGCCCCACCAGTTACTGACTGTGGGGCCATAGACAGTAATTGTTGCCTTTCTGAGTCTGTTTCCTTATTTGTAAATGAGGGTGGCAAGTCCAACTTTATAGGACAATTGAGTGAATCAAAAGACATTTTGTACATAAATATATGTATGAATATACTTAATAATCTATAAACTAGTGTCTAAACATTAGCTGTTATATGAAGTTGAACAATTTTTCTTGGACATTTCTTCATTCTGATAATAAATAATATGTCTGTGTTACTAAGCCTAAAAAAGATTCCATATGTTAATTGGTTTATTTGATAACAGCATGGCACTTTTATTTTATGTAAAATCACAAATACACACTGATATTTACAAAAATTGTTTCAGTTATGTTTAAACGAAGAGAAGATGGTACATTTCAGGATCAAAAGGAAAAGGGGGATGAATTCTGTTGACAGACACAACTGGTATACAGTCTACTGTCAAAGAATCTTATTAGAAGAGTCAGGAAGAGGGGAATAAATACAAATACCATTATTGTCATATTTTTTAAAAATGCAGATAATCCCAAATAGCTATTTGCTTGGCTTTAAAATGCAGGGTATAATTTTGTGAAATCAGAATTTACAAACCAGTTGTCTTTGGCTAAAATTAAAATAAGTTTCCATTTTCTGAGGGTACAGTGATTGGACTTGAAGGTATCTGCTGGGTGGTGATGGAAGATAAGGTTGGAACTTCACTGTTTAGTAAACAAATAAAAATAATTTTAAAAACACATGCAAGCAACTGAATAACCCTTTTTCTATAGAAAAATAGAAGTTTTCCAAATGCAAATGGACCAACCACAAACCAGGTACCATTTGTATAGTCAGTCTCTGCTTCAAAATGAATCAGGAAGAAATTAGGAAAAACACACACAATCATCACATATATAAATATGTAATAATACAACAGATTTTGCAGCACTGGGGTGCACAACATGCAGGGAAGGTTTTCAACACTTTCTAGGACCACAGGGATGTTGAGAGCCTGGGGTCCACTGAGACTCTGAGGTTGAATCCTCCAGATTATAACTCAGAACAGGAATTCCTTTATTGCCCCAGTGTAGAGGGGCTATACTGTGAAGAGTCCAAACAGGAATTAAAAAGTGGGACTTTCTCCATAACAAGTCACAGTAGATGGGGTTCCCTTGTCCAGACACACCATTCAGTATCACTTATCCATTCCTATTACTCAAAGAGTTGAAAAACATTTTCCAAGTAGAGCTCATTTTGTAAAACAGGATTTGTTCTAGAAAAGTGGTTCAGGCCTTAGCAAAATAGCCACACAGATTAGGTTCATTGCCAGTGGCAAGTTCCATCCCTTTCTTTGTCCCCTTCTTCCCTGGCAAAAGAGCCCTGAAATACTTGACACTAAGGTATCAGGGACTAGATGTAGTCCTTGTTTCAGAATTGTATGTCTTTACATAAATAGTGGTGAGCTTTCAAGCATCAGTGGAAAAGATTTCTTGGTTCTTTCCTTTGAAATTACACCAGTGTAGATAACTGATGGCCCGGCTATGAGAAAAATTCTTTTTTTGGCAGCCAGAATCCTAGAGAATGTCCTAGGGAGGTAGTATGAGCTGAGTGGGAAAGCTCAATGTGATGGCATGAACTCCATTCCCATGAGGCCATAAACCCCATACACTGACAAACTTAGTTTTACATTTTCATCATGTTTAAGTGCCTTATCTTATTGCCTTTGACATTTCTGCACTTATGAGATACAGAATGAAGGAAGATGGAGTGAGTCCAGATAACAATTCCTGGTCTCTACCTGACCATCTATATATCTAGATATAGCTAGTGATTCCAATAGCTTCTGCTATTTTGTTTTGTTATCTGAATTTTTTTGTACACAGTAGGCAATCAATAAATGTCAGCTCTTGTTGCCCTTGTCTAATCTCATTGGTGGGTTTGCACACAGATGTCCAATGTCAGTTGCTGTTACTTCAGTCTAGTCTTATTGGTGTGGTTGTGTATACAGCAGGTGCTGAGCAGATATCAGCAAAGGTCAGCTGCTGTGGTTTGTGTGTGGTCTGATGTTATGACTGAGAATCATCCAGCAACTTGAGGGCAGTGAGGCATGAACACAGTTGCCCTTTTCACATGCAGCCAGCGAACTTGGCTATCAATAAATTTTGCTCTGTGTTCTGGCTTTTGGATTTTCAACTGTGAAACACCAGAGGGTCACTTCAGCCTGATACAGTCCACCTCTTCTGTGGCTGGCATGCCGCTGTTTCTGAGGTCGAGGTCCGCGCTGGACTTGCTTCCATGGTGGGAGGGGCGCCAGTGGAGCTGCATCATCTTCTTGAAGTACTTCATGGACTTGTTCTTGACGGTCACAAAGCACACGGTGTTGATCATACTGTTGCTCATGGCAATGCACTCCACGACGTAGAAAGCCGTGAGGTAGTGCTTCTCCTTAACGAACACAGTGGGGAAAAAGTCGCGCACGATGGCGAAGCCGTAGAAGGGTGCCCAGCACAGCACGTAGGCGGTGAGGATGCACATGAGCACCAGAACCGTCTTCCGGCGACAGCGCAGCCGCTTCCGGATCTGCTCCGTCTGGAAACCAGGAACTTCCTTGAACCAGAGTTCCCTTGAGATCCTGCTGTAGCACAGGGTCATGGTGACCACTGGCCCCACAAACTCGATGCCGAAGATGAAGAGGAAGTAGGACTTATAGTAGAGCTGCTGGTCTACTGGCCAGATCTGGCCGCAGAAAATCTTCTTCTGTTTTTTGACGTTAAAGAGGACTGTTTCTGTTGCAAAGTAGGCAGATGGGATGGCGATGAGAATGGACACCATCCAGACCAAGGCAGTCAGGAAGAAGGCCTTCTGAAAATTCATCCGTGGTTTCAAGGGGTGAACGATAGCAAGATATCTGGTGGAGGAGGGAATCCATCAATATAATATGTGCTTGAGAACATCATTGGTTTCTAACTCACCCCAAACAAACACAAAAGTATACAAAGTGTCACAATGAGTCCCTATGTACCTACTTATCTGGCTTCAGCAAGCTTTGTCTTATTTTAGCAACATCATTTAGCATTTGGAGGGGTGGAAGTGTTTAGAAGGAAACAGCATAAGACTGGGGTCAAACAACTGGAATGAATCCCAGTTTTTCTCCTGAATGGCTTTGGGGTCTGGACTGAATCACTCAGGCTCTCTGAGATTTTTCCTCAACTGTGACATGGGATAAAATGACACCTAACTTGCAGGGCTGCTGTGAACATGAAATAGGATAATATTTGTAAAATGCTTGGCATGTGGTAGATGTTCAGTAAGTACATGTGGCCTATTATTTTTATAAGTCCAATTGATACCACCTTGATTTTCAATCTTGCCATTTAACATAATACTTTGAAAATTTTCCCAAGAACATAATACTTTGAAAAATTTTCATTACTAATATGTCACGGGTTAGAGGTGAAAGAAGAGCAATGGACCTCAGAGAGAGGTGGAACCTTTCTCTAGGTAGTGGACTAGGGTTTTCTAGGGCTTCCTTGTCCCCAACCCCTGGTATCATCCTGCATTACATTGCTGGGGAGTAGGGGTGGGCTTGGGGTGGAATCTAAGGAATCTAATGAGAGGTAAATGACTTGCCCGAACTTACTTGGTGCAGGGACCAGAACCCAGGTTCCTGATACAAAGCTTTTACACCCAGATCGTTGGGCTTTCTGAAGCTCAGATGAGAAGGTGGGTAAAGTCACCTTGACACCATAAAGCAAGGTTTTGCAAGGTCTTTGTTACCAAGTATCTGCTTGGATGTGTTTCTTGAGGTTAACACTCTCCTTCTAGGATCTCTATGACTTTAAATAACATCTCTTCCAGGCCCTCTACACATGAACCTTGTTCTTTCTCTGAATGTAGCATCCAGAAATGGCAGTAGGTAGCCCTTCTGATATTTCTACATAGTAGGGCAGGCATATTTACCAAGGGGTAAACTGAAATGCACAGGGACACCTGTGCCTCTCCCACCCTGCCTGTGTCAGGGTCCGCAGGTTTATCTACTTCTGAGTATGCAGTGGTCCCCATGCCCACAGATAAAAGCCTCATTATCCAACATCAGTGTCACAACAGAAGTGTCACTATCCATCTCATTCTTTCGCCTTATTTTTAGTTGCTTTAAAGCCCAAGTGAAAAAGAGGGGTGCTATTTATTAGGCTCCTCTATTGTAAGGCCTGAAATTCCATGTGCTGCCTTGAAATCTTTGAGCCTCACAGGGCTCTAAAGTCCTAGCCATTAGTTTCCTGTTCTTCCCAGATACACCATTCCACCCAAGAGAAAAGGCCTTCTGTTCTGTTAGTTCCTCTATCACCCGAACCAGTTGCACCCTCAGTCTCCAACCTAATTGGTTTCAACTCTCTGCCAGTTGACAAAATTGTTCAAACAAGCCAATCACATCTTCTGTAGGAACCAAGGGTCACCTCATCCTTTTGTCACTATAAAGCCTGCTGCCTACAGCCTCTGCTGGTTCATTCTATTCCTGAGTGCATGGTGTGCAGTGTCCTCCTTCCCTGGGCTGTGATATATCAGATAAATTAACTGCTGTTGCTCTCATCTGTCCAGGGTCAGTTTTGTGTGTTCAGCCATCTTGTATCATTTGGAGTGGGAGAATCCTGCCTTCATTAATGGGGCAAGTAGGAGGTGGTCAGGATAGCACGTCTGGATGTCAGCATCTTCATGAAGCATTCCCAGACTACATCATTAATGTAATGATCACATGTTTCTCTAAGTTACTCTTGCCTATCACTTGATTATTCTAGTTTTTATGGGAAGAAAACTTCCCTAAGGTCAAGGACTGTATCTTCTACTGCTTTATGTTTTTGTTACATGGGTTGGGCATGTACAGTAGGACCTGCAATCTGTTGTGGATTTACCAGGTTATAGCAGATGCTGTTGGTGCTCTCTCATATTCCTTTGTTCTTATCACTTCCACTCACAACTGTCTACTTTCACCTCCTAACACCTGCATTTTATTATCTAAAGGCTTTCTATGGATTCTAGTCTTCTTGACTACCTGCATGGAATTTTCAGAGCAGCCTTCACCAATGACTTGAGAGTTGGTGAATAAATACCCCAGCTCCCTTCCACCTGACACTTCTTGGAGAATTTTGAGGTGGTTTACTCTGACTCCAAGAGTTGCTTAGCTAAAATAAGCATCAGGTGCCCACAGTGAAACTTGTTCAATAACACAGCCTATATTGACTGCCTTTCCTTGCTTGCCTCATTTTCCATCTCCCTATAGGTGCTTCCTGAGTGCTACCTGCACAGGAATCCTTGTCTCAGAGTCTATTTTGGGAGTACACTAAACTAAGACACAGGTATAAGGTTCTGTGCTGAGCACTGTAGAGACAAAGAGAGAAGACATGGTTATTCACTTCAAATACAATGTTCTTTGGAAAACACATACAGATATGTTTCTTCATACGCACTACAAGATTGCAAAGACAAGGTGGCAACATACTGTAAAGGCTCTGGAATGCTAGGCTCAGGATTTAGCATGTATTCTGTTAGGCACTGCACCTTTTGGAAGTTTGTAAGCAATGAAATATTTTAAGAAGAATCATCAATAATGATATTCTGATGCTTAATATGGATAAGCAGGAATTTCAGGGGACAGTCAGGAGGCAGGTAAAGAGACATGTTAGAGGAGCATTATGACAGTCCAGCTGTGGCTTGATAAGAGATGAGGTTGGAGGGACAGTTGCCAGGATCTGGTGTAGGGCTGCACACAAAGGGTAGGTGTTTGGGTGAGTGTGGGACATGAAGAAAGGCAAGGAATGATCGTACTTTTTCCTGCCCAGGCAACTGGGAGGATGGTGGAGCTGCTGACTGGGCAGAGATGGTTTGAGGTAAACAAACAAACAAACAAACAAACCACTCTTTGTATTGTTACAGAATGTGTCTTAAGAAATCCTGTTACATAAAATACTATATTACAAAGACAAAAACAGGTTTCAGTGGGACAAAGGGGATGAGGACAGTAATAACTGTCATTTCAATGAACATCAGAATCATTCAGGGAGTTGGATAAAATTGAAGAGTTATGAGGCCTAACCCAGGAATTCCATTCAGCAGGGCTGGGTGGGGCCCAGGAATCTGACTGTGTATCACTGTATTAAAGGATAGCCTGGGGAGTTTTGCAGTTCGTTGATGGGTATACTTCATAAACATTGGTGTCAGGGCTGGAGAACTTCAGAGTGGCAATAATAAAATTGTTTTTCCTGCAGAAATTTTGTTTAAAAAAGGAAGATGTCTCTTATGTATGTATATGTTATAAAAAATAAACAATAATCAACTGGTTTGATTAAAAGGACAACAAACTTAAATAGCGCTGAGAACTTGGGAAGACAAAAGGGTTGAAAGGAGACCAAAGTGAAAAAAGATGATTAAAAAACATATTATCAAAATGAGTCTCAGCACAGTGCACAATGGTGGGCCAAGAAGATGTGACACCAATTGCTCCCCTCAGACAAAAGCATTGCTGGCCTACAACTGTTCACATAAATAAGACATGGGTCAGATTCATCATAGATGCTATTAGAAATTTTACTTTATAAATCTATAATGGAGCAAGGACTTTTAGAACATCTTATTCAAATGTATGCAAATGAGCATATGGATGCATACAAAAAAGCAAAGGAAGCTTATCCTTCCTTCTTTTCTGCAAACGAGACCTACTGCCTGATTTTAAACTCAGTTGTACAACAAAGGCATCAGAAACAACAGTACATCTTGTATGATTCTGTTTTTATGAAGTTAAGGAATAGGCAAAACTTGCCCTAACTGGTGTGGCTCAGTGGATTGAGTGCTGGCCTGTGAACCAAGGGCCGCATGTTCAATTCCTAGTCAGGGCACATGCGTGGGTTGCTGGCCAGCTCCCCAGGTAGAGAGTGCATGAGAGGCAACCATGCAATGATGTTTCCCTTTTTCCCTCCCTTTCCCTCTCTCTAAAAATAAATAAATAAATAAGATCCTAAAAAAAAAAGAACAAGCAAAACTAAACTATGATGATAGAAATTGGATCAGGGTTGTGTGTGATAGGAGGATTAACATGCAAGGGGAGTCAGGAAGCTTTCTGAGTGATGAAAATATTTTATATTTTGGTCTGGGTAGTAGTTATAGAAAAACTGGGTACATGCTGTCTTGACTGGAAGCTGCCCTGGTTAACTCTCATGTGGCTTCTAATTAGTAAGCTGCCTAAACTTTCTGCTTTTGCTTTTGTATTTGATGCCACTCATGGTCATGTGACATGTATCTGAAGCAGATGTGGTATCTGGGGTTATGGCCCAGAGCTGGAGGGATCAGGAGCCTCACTCTTGCTCACATTTGGGAGAATATGAGCCACAACTGGATCTTCTTGCCCCGTAATAGATCACTCACATCTGAAGCAATGCCAATAGTCAGAGCTGAAGTGGGGAAAGGGGCAGCCCGGCCCAGCCTCCAGCTTTATCTCTACCCAACAGCCTCACCTGTCAATAGCAATGGCCAGCAGAGCATTGGTGGAAACATAGAGTGACATAGTACGCAGGTAGTTGACAGAGGCACAGAGCACATGGCCATGCTCCCAGGAGAGCTGGCGTACCACATAGTAGTCCATCTCAAATGGGCAGCAGACAATGGCTACCAGGAAGTCAGAGATGGCCAGGTTAGCAATGAGCAGATTGGTGAGGTTGCGCAGCTTCTTATAGCGGGCAAGAGCAACAATAAAGACAAAGTTGCCAATGCCACAAACTAGCATGATGCCTGCCAGTGCCACACCGATGATGATCTTGGCTGCGAAGAAGGTCCGTGTCTTGGTCATGTCCTCATCCTCATCCAAAGGAAAGTCGTAATCACCATAACTGAAGTTGAAGGGGAGGGAGGAGGCATGGTCTTGGGGAAGATTGAAGTTGGGTGCAAAACTGGTGTTTCCATTCTGGGTGGCCATGGCAAAGCTTGCAGGTGGAGTGGTGGGTGGGAGTCTCGGGGTCTGAGTACTCTGAGTTCAGGGTCCAGACCTTCTGCTCTCACGAGGTCAGTGAGCTTAGCACCCTGCCCACATCCTTGGGGAGAGTCAACATGCCATCCTGGATCCTGGAAGGATACAAAACCAATAGACAACATGCAGGAGAACACCGGGTGGCATTCCCACAGAGCTCCCCAGGTATAGGCCAACTAGACCTGGTGTCTCCCCAGATAGAGCTAACCAGGGTGCAGGGGAGAGGAGACACGAGATCTAGAAATTGGGAAATCCTCCACTGGCTGTTGGGCTTGCAGGACGGACTGAGCAAAGGATGGACTAGACTCTTCAGAGACACTCAAGAAGAACATGCATCCTTGCCTTTTTACCAGGGACGAGTACCCCTCTGACTGCCTAGTCACCACTTCCCCCTTCCCAGCAGCCTTCACAGGGGTCTTCTGGAAGTTTTCCAAGACTGCTCCAGGCAGCTAGCCAGGCATTCATGGCAGTCACAATGCTGCACCCTCCATTACTCAGGTACCGTGAAGACGAAGGACTGGGATACAGCAAGGTCTTTCCTCCAAAGTAAGGCACAGCTCCCTCTGCCCTGCCAAACCACAGACTTGGAAATCACCAAATCCATCTTTACATGGACAAGCTGAGTCATCTTGGGATAGTGAATTATGTTCTCTGCATCCCAATTTTCCTGTAAACCCAACTCTTGCTGCCCAGCCCATGGCCTGGCACATAGTGGGGACTGGATAGAAACCTGTTGAATGAGCGAATAAGTATCTCAACCAGGATTCCGCAGGTGCAGGGGGCTGTGGGTGGAAGGGCACTCTTCAGCTGCTTCCCTGCATTCTGGGAACTGCTTTAGAAAGAAATCCTTTGTCTGCTTCCCCACCCTTCCTCCCTTGACCCCTTTACCAGGCCCCCAGTTCCCTTTCCAAAATCAGCCCTGACTGGGAAGCACCATGGCCTGTCATCAAGGTCTGTGCCTCTGAAAGTGGCCTAACTGAAAACAGCTCCCAAGGAGCAGGAAGTGTCACCGAGGACCCAGGGATGGCCTGTGGATTGAACTGTTCTTCATTGCCTAAGTCCTTTATATCTTCAAGATGCCCACAGGAGAGGAAATGAAGTCTGTGAGGTACTGGGCCCTCAGGAGATAGGGTACCATTGGGCTCTAGGCATTGGAGCGGTCAGGAAAATAACCTGGACGCCCAACACCAGGAATGGGGATCCCAGTCATTCAGCTGTAAACCCCCTGTGCCCCTCCCCCTTGGCACACCTGGAAATTACTCCAAATGTAGGGGCCGCAGAATGCTGGTAAAAAGAAGTAGCCCAAACTGGGCAGGAGGTATGGCCCGGCCCTGTGAGAGGAGAGGGAGAGCCAGGGACGGGAACTGCCCGGGAAGGTTGGGACAGAGGGTGACAGGGACACTCCCATCTGCAGCGCGCCCATCAGCTGCATCCAGAGGTAAAACATACCAGCTGCATGCCAGAGGTAAAACATTCCAAGAGGTGAGATTAAAGTCTGAGCGGCTTTTGCAACCCCGGCGTCCTCCCTCCCCGTCGCCTCTCGGAATCACGGGAGGCCCAATGCCTGAAGATAGTGCTCAGCTCAAGACAGAGAAGCAGGAGTCCCGCCTTCTTGGCTACTATGCTCCGAGACTCTCCAGTCCCAGGACGCCAGAGGAGGGGGTGTGCATTGCATCTGGGCTGGGCAGATCCCGGCGCGTTTCCACGGAATGCACTCCCTGCCCTTGACCACCTCGCTCCAGGAGCCCTCTCCTATCCTCCCTCAATTAACCTCCCCGCGCAGCAGCGCTGTTCCCAGAGGCGCCGCCCTGACATAGGAGAGAATCAAGTCAGAAAACTGGGCTCGAAAAGCAAAGAGTGTGGAGCCTCAGAGCGGGGAAAGCCTTGGAGTGGGGGTAGATACGAAGAGCGGGAATTTTCTCAGGAACGCTTCCCCTTTTCTGCTCTCCTTTCGAGAAGGTGCATCCCTGCCCACGCCCTTCCCTGCAGTTTGGCGCTCGCCCGCCAGCCCAACATCCGAGGGCATCCTTCACGCGAGCTCACACTCCCCAGTCTCAGTTCACCGTCCTCTGCCCGGTTCCAGTAGGCCGGTGGGTTGGGGCACTCTTCCCACACCAGCTCCTCTACTTCGAGCCTTCACGCGCGCATCCGGAGAGAGGTGGGAGGCAAAGAAGCCCCAATCCCCCAAGACGTGGGCATCGGCGCACCCAGCCAAGGCGATACTTCCCACCCCCGGCGAAGCCCCTCACACCATCAGTGGAGACTTGGACTGCGCCGAACTCAGCACTTACCTGCCTCGGCGCCTCCTCCCCTCATGCAGCGTGCTTCGTGCTCCTTGAATTAGTCCACTCGGCTCCGCCCAGGGACCCGGATTTGCACTTGCAAAGGCTCTATGGTAGGGTAGTCCCTCTTTCTTCCTTGCCCCAACGCACTTCCCGGGAGCGTCCGGGTCTCTATCTTCCAGATGGATTTGGCGCTCGGCCTTCAAAGCTCTGACAGTCTGATACCCAAACTGACGCGTCCCGCCCCGCGCTCAACTCCGCCCCGGGTTCCCCGCCCTCTCCTAGCCCAGGCGGGAGAAGGGCGCTGTGCGCCAGCACCTGGTGCGCTCCGGGAGCTCCGCGCCGGAGCTCTGGCCGCGTTGGCGGGGATTTCCAGTCCCTGGGATCGGCCCCTCGCAGAGGTCTCTGCGCCTTTGCACCCTAATGCCAGTGGGAACGCAGTAGCCAGGTTTAGACGATGGGATTTGGAGAAAGCTGTGAGGCTCTCTACGCCCCACGGGAAGTGTGGCCCTTGCAGGAGCTCAGCGTCCATACTTAAGTTGCAGCCCAAGGCCAGAGTCCACTCCCGTTACAAGGTGAATCCTTCAAGAGGAGCCAAGGTGCACTCGGTCGTGTCCCGAGAGCTGACGCTGGGAATACTCCAACAAACACAGAGTGAGCTTTGTAGGGTGGTGCTGGTGGAGGAGGCTCTGTCGGAGGAAGCTGGGGGTTGGAGGTAGAGTGTCCTGCTCAAAGCTTTGGCCCTGAAGTCCTCAGCAAAACCCTGCGACGCCACCACTGCCACATTCCTCGGCCATTCAAAGACCTTCCTAGCTGGACTTCTGCCTGTCAGGAGAACTCCGGAGCCTTCACTTTGCTTCCAACAGGCTTTGGTTTTAGGCAATTTTCTTAAACATCTCTCGTCCTTGATTTCCTTACACATTGAGGGTGGGGATTAAAATCTATAAAGAGCCGCTAATTCTAATGACTTGTAGCTGGAAAGAGCAGAGGGAAGCTCTAGGTTTTCAGAATTGGAACTGTGAGCAGTGGCAGGAGACTGAAGTCCCCAGTGTTAAATCCCGTTCAGTTACTGTCAGCTTGGAATATGGACTCAGCTTTGTCGGATCTTCCCATTGTTCAAGAGAGTGTGGAATCTCAGAACTTAATACTCTGCTGGCTTAGTTAAAACAGAACAACAAAACCCGTGCTGGCCAAAGACAGCATGCCTCAGCATGAATCCAGTCTACTGGGACACAAATTGAAATTCCTGAAATCCTTTGGGTGGGGACATTCTGTGATTTTTGCCTTTTCCACCTTATGTGGAATGAACCCCGCCATCCTCCTCCTTTTTTAAAAAAATTATTTTTCCATCTTTATTGAGATATAATTGACATATGACATTATGTAAATGTAAGGTATACTACTTGATGGTTTGATACACATATACTTGTGAAAATGATTACTACAATAAGGTTAGTCAACACACCCATCACCAAGCATCGTTATAATTTTTTGTGTGTGGTGAGAACTTTAAGATCTGATCACTTAGCAACTTTCAAGTATACAATACCATATTGTGAACTGTATAGTCATGGTGCTGTACATTAACTAGGTCCCAAGAACTTACTTGTCTTTCGAGTAAGGGATGTTCATGCCCTTTGACCGACATCTTTCCATTCCCTTCACACCGCCTGCCCCCACGTCCTGGTAACCAACATTCTACTTTGTGATTCTATGAGTTTGGCTTTTTTGAAGATCCCACAAAAAAGTGAGATCATACAGTATTTGTCTTTTTCTGTTTGACTTACTTCACTCACCAAAATGCCCTTAAGTTCTGTCTATGTTGTCCCAAATGCAGGGTATTCTTTTTTATGGTTGAACAATATTCCATTATGTGTGTATATGACATTTTATGGCTGAAATTATATATACACACACATACCATTGCATACTACCCACACTTAGGTTGCTTCCATGTCTTGGCTATTGTGAATAATGCTACAATAAACATGGAGTGCAGGTGTTTCTTCAAGGTAAGGATTTTATTTCCTTTAGACACATACACAGGACTAGGATAGCTGTTTCATATGGTATTTCCATTTGTAATTTTTTGAGGAACCTCCATACTGTTTCCATACTGGATGCACTGATTTGCAGTCCTGTGCAATAGAATTCTCTTTTCTCCACATCAACACCAACACTTGCTTTTGCTTGTCTTTTTTATAACAGACATTCTAACAGGTGTGAGGTGATATCTCATTGTGGCATTGGTTTGCATTTCCCTGGTGGTTTTTCACCATTTCTGTCTTCTTTGGGGGAAAATGTTTTTTTTAGATCATCTTTCTTTTTTTATTTTATTTATTTATTTATTTATTTATTTAAACAGGTTTTTAAAGATTTTTTAAAAGATTTTATTTATTTATTTTTAGGGAGGGAGATAGAGATAGAGATAGAGATAGAGATAGAGATAGAGAGAGAGAGAGAGAGAGAGAGAGAAACATCAATGTGTGGTTGCTGGGGGTTATGGCCTGCAACCCAGGAATGTACCCTAGCTGGGAATCGAACCTGGGACACTTTGGTTCTCAGCCCCTGCTCAATCCACTGAGCTATGCCAGCCAGGGCAGTTTTTAAAGATTTTTAAAAAGATTTTATTTATTTTTAGAGAGGGAAGGGAGGGAGAAAGAGAGA